GGGCGGGAGGCGGGGGCTCCGGAAGAGACTCCAGGGCCCAGGGTCCGCAACATGGCCTGGAGGCCCCAGGCCTCGTGGCCTCAGGCTCCGTGCGAGACGTGGCAGTGAACAGAGTGGCCACCGCCTGGGCGGCTGCCAGGCTCGCCCTGGCCAGCGCCTGCGCAGCACCCTGACAGCGGGCCCTGTGATGTGGCCGTCCACGCAAGCCTCAGTGTGGGGTGTGAGGGACGCAGAGCGTGGCAGGCGAGGGGACGGAGTGAGGACACCGACCCAGGCGCGGAGGCTGCCGCCCCGCTGGGGTGAAGCCCAGGAACGTGGCGAAGCTGAGAACAAGACGAGACAGAAGACTGGCTTCAGGCCACGGGGCAAGTGGCTTCCGAATGCCCCTCCTGGGAGTGTGACCTTCATCCCGTGAAGCCGGAGGCTCTGAGCCCCTCACAGCACTCCCCGCCCGCCCACATGCTCCTGAGCCTCGGGGCCAGGGACTCAGGCCCACGACCCCTCAGACCAGCGTGTGGCCCGACACATGGACTTAGCGGCCACCTGCCAGAGACAGCCGGCCACCCAGACAACAGAAAAGCTGTAGTGAGAAGCAAAGTCTGCAGCCAGAGAGTCATGCCTCATCTGGGCAGACCAAGATATTTCTCCAAGCCTTAGAAAACGTCTGCCTTCTGCGTCTGTCCACAGCATTTTCAACCTAATTTAAAACCTGTCCACTGACTTAGAGGTGATCCTCAGCAGAAAGGAGGTGTGGGTTTGGTGACGCCGACCCCGCACAGGGGCATGGGCGGCACTCGGTGCTCTACGCCGGCAGACCGTCTGCAGGATGCCTTTCCCGGGAGCAGGGCCTTCACAGAGCGACCGCTGAGGCGGAGCCTGGGGGCGGGAAGGGGCCTCGTCCTCCGGGCAGATGCCAGCCAGTCCCTGGTGCCGATGCAAGAGGTAGGCTCGGAGGCGAGGGGCTGGGAGCCCCCGGTCACAAGCTGGGGGAGCCGAGAAGGATGTGGCCACAAGCCAGGGCATGCAGGAGAGTGCAGGACGCACCCCCAGGAAAGTGGACTTGGTCTGTAAGTAAGACTGACTGCAAACACCTTGTCTACAGGACTGTGATAAATGTCTATTGTTTAAAGCTATCAACTTTGTGGTAATTCATCACAGCAGCCACAGGAAACTAATACGGTGAGTAATTTATCATGATTTCGAGGAAATTTAATGATAGAAGAAGTGGAAATAAGAGGTTTACCATTCACTGAACACCGACATGCATTACTTCATTAAATCATAAGCAGCAATCCTATTGCGACTCGCTTTGTCTTTAATGGAGACTATTTTGTTTCACTTCTTGCCACCAAGGTTCTCTGCAGCCAAGTTTAGAAATTAAAAAAAAAAAAAAAATTCTCAACTGAATTTGATAGTCCTATCAAGTTATGACTTGTTCAAAATGGCTTATGGATTCTTAACACTATTTTTCATATCACGAGTAGTCATGAATCCAAGGAACAAAAGAAAAGTCTGTGGTGGGTCCTGCTGTACAGGTGAGGCATCAGAGTGGGCCCCTTCTCAGTGGGGGGACACAGGCCCCCCCAAGACCGTGGTTTGCATACCAGTGCTATTGCTTCCACCAAAACTAGCCTTGTTAAAAGCTGAAGAAATCAACGACCGAGGAAGAACTTATCTGAAGTCACCAGCTGACAAGCACAGAAATTCCAGTCCCACGTGGGTCCCCTGAGCAAGGCATCAAGTTACCTGGACATTTTTGCCAGCTTTGTGCTCACACATTGAGAAAGCTGTTTGGCTACTAATGAAGGAAACAGGAGCGTCGTTGTCACGGCACCCTTTCCTAACAAACACAGTAGCAAGTCAGTGAACCCCACCGACCTGGTGACCGTCGGGGTGGGGGCCCCTCTTGTGCGCAAGGCGGGCTTCCCTCGGGCCACGGGCACGTCGGCGTTCTCCGAGCCTCCGTTCAGGTACGTCAGTTCCTGGAGCTGCGCCTGCCTGATTTCATCGTTATAGTCCTGCAGAAAAGACAGGAGACAGACGACTTACCTGCAGGAAAGGTAAAGACGCAGTTCGCACGGAAGCAGACAAATGTT